CCCCCCCCCGGCCCCCGGGAGCCGCCGCCATCCCACGCGGCGCTCAACGCGCGCTCGCAGCTTCCAAGTTTCGCGGCGAGCTTCGCAAGTGGGAAGCGAGCAGCCTCCCCCGGGCAAGCCGCCGCCGCTCTCCTTGGCGCAGGCCACGCTAACAAATGCCATTTTTTTTTTGGGTGCAGTCCTCCGGGGAAGGAGGATTTTTCAGCAGAGCAGCAGCACTCGAAGCATCCCCGGCTTTGCTGTTGGAGGGCTCGTCCGTGAAACGATGCTCGTGCAGATTTTTTATCCCCTGCCCTCGGACAGCCCCGGGTGCCCGCGGAGATGGCCGGGCATCCCTGAGCAGCATCCTCAGGCTGGTGTGAAAGAGATGACACAACTCCCTCTTTACACAACATTTCGCTTATCTCAACAGTCGCTGGGGGAAAAAAAAACAAAACAGAACTCCAGCGCGCCCGCTCGTCTCTTGACAGACTCCCCTCCTCACGCTACAAACTCGACGTAGGCGACGACGCAGAGAGGATAAACCTCCAACCAAAATATGGTAATGTGGTTTTGAAGTCTCGTAGAAGGAACAAACAGGAGTGAGTCAACAAGAAGCCACTCCGTAAAGTGAATCAAGGGAAAGACAGCATATATTAACCCAGATCTGCTTAATTTCACAAGTTTGCTCCCCTTTCCTGAAACAGAGAGCTCGAGCAGACAGCAGGAAGGGCAGGCAGAGGGGAACCTCGCAGAGGAAAGCCTTATTCCCCTGCTAAAGGGATCTTTGCCGTTTCTTTTTATTAATTTATTTTGAATGCAAGCCTCCTTTCCCCTTCTCGCTGTCGGGGCTGTAGCTGCTTCCCAGGCAGGCAGTGTAATGCACTCCAAGGCTGCTCCGGCGCGGCGCTAAGTGCCATCCCCTCGGACGCAAGGGCAGGAGCGAGGCTGCAATAACCCTTAACGAGCTCTGAAGACGTCGCTCGCGTCAGAAGGAGGGATTTCCAGACACGAGACTAATGTAAAACGCATTAATGCTAATGGGGGGACAGGGTTTGGGGGGTGAACTCAGCTCTCCAATGCTCTTTGGCTCCGGGCTTACCTGCGGACCGGGACCCATGGGGCCCATCCCTCGCGGAGGATTCATCCTTTGCATGGGGCCGCCCATGTTGGGGTGTCCTGTGGGGAGGAAAGCAGCGGCGTCCCCCCAGCCACTTCAGGTCCCAAATTAAGAGCTAACGAGAAACGTTAACGTTCAGCCCTCCTCTGCTGGGTCTACCTTGCTGTCGCGTGGGATCCATCGAGTTGGGCAGCAACGGCTGTGTACCGGGAACGGCGCCCGGGGGCTGTGAAAACAAGGGGAGGAAGATTAAAAAAAAATAATAATTGCTAGAATGCAGCCTACGGAGATAGATTTGGGTTGAGGCTTTAGGCTTTCGGGGGGCTCCTTGGGATGCACCACCCCTCCTGCCGCAGCACAACCTGCGGCTGCCCGAGCATCCCGCTGCATCCCAGGCATCTTCCTGCAGCCTCCGGGCTTCCGCCTCCCCTTTCCTTTCACAAACACCCTCTAAAACCCAAACAAGGCGCCATATATATGGATCTACACTCATCAGCTGCTGGGGCGGATGAGCGTTTGGACCTGTCCCCGCGCAGGCAGAGGGGAAAGCGGACGCTCCTCCTCCCCAAACCCAGCTCTGCTCCGGCCACATCGCTGCTATTTAAAGTTCAAAGGCTGCTCCGAACAGATAAAGAGGGGAAAAACGCAGATACCATCTGCCTGGGGGAAGCCATCCGTAAACAGTCTTGCTACAGCACTGCCTTTTATTTGGATGCCGACGCCTGACAGGTCCCACTGACGGAGCACGGCGCAGGCACCGGGTCCACGCGGCTGTGCCAAGGCAGAATCTGCCCAATCCCACTGTTTTTTTTTTCAGCTTGGAAGCTGGCAGCAGGAGGAAGAGAAACCAGGGGGGTTGTAGCGATGGGTATTTACACTTCTGCTGCCTGACCTTCCTGCCTGCCTATTTATTCCTCTTGTCCCTCTGGATGTGACCATAACCTCGCCGAGCTCTGCGTGGGTACAAACCTGGGTTTCGTACGTGCTGTTTGGGGGGAAAAAAAACCCCAAATCCTTCCAATTAACTTTACCCACTCCCTGGATGCTCAACCCCGCTGTAGGAGTGGCCTCCCCGAACCAGTGCCGTGCCTGTCCTGCCTACCCCAGCTAGGCATGCTCACCTCCAGCGGAGCTCGGGACCACAGCAGGATGAGGTCCTGTTAAAACGGACCCGTTGGAAGGGGTCATTCATTAATTGCTTGCTAAACCAGCCACCGGTGCCCCAGGGTTAGAGGTTCTTCCAGCCCAGCTGGGCTTGGAACCTCTAACCGCCCCCCCCGGCCTGTAGTATTTTCTCAGCTACATCTCAGCTGTCTCACCAGCATTTTGCAGGTTCCAGCGACTCAAGTCTCAGATCCAGCAAGCGCAAACACGAAGCAATCTGCTACATCCCCTTTCCCCTCTACTCTGCCCTAGTGAGGCCCCATCTGGAGCACTGTGTCCAGTTCTGGGCTCCCCACTTCAAGAAAGATGAGGAGCTACTGGAGAGGGTCCAGCGGAGGGCTACGAGGATGATGAGGGGACTGGAGCATCTCTCCTATGAGGAAAGGCTGAGGGAGCTGGGCTTGTTCAGCCTGAAGAAGAGAAG